AAGAGCAGAAATTAATGCAATTGAAAACACATAAACAACATAGTAAAATTGGTGAAAACAACCCACGAATATTATTATTATGTATTTATCTAAAAGAAATGAAAATGTTTGTCCACACAGCACCAGAATACTAATATTCATATAGGCTTCATTCACAATAACTCCAAACTGAAAGCAACACAAATGTTCATCAAGAGGTGAATGGATAAATAAATTGTGGTATACCCATTCAATGGGGTATTAGTCTACAGTAAAAAGGAATGAACTACTCATTTATGTAGCAACATGGATCTTAACATGTTAAAAGCATCATGCTATGTAAAAGACATGAAAAGGTACATACGGTACATTCTGTTTATATGGAAATCTAGAATAGGCAAATCTGATTTACATGGACTGAAAGTAGATCAATGGCTGTCTGGTTCTTGGGGTGAAGTGGAGAGATTGACTACAAAAGAGCTTAGAAAATTTTTCAGGGTGATAGAAATGGTCTATATCTTTATATGGTTGTTACTTGGGAGTCTGTATTTGCCAAAATTCATTGAATTCAACACATGTGAATTTTATTGCAAATAAAATAAATAATCATGAGGACTATTAAAGTGTAAGCTTGAAGGACATGTTCATCTAATTTTGGATTTCTATGAATCAAGTGTGTTGATAGTGCTGCAGAGGAGGTAGACACTTTGACAGTGATGCATGTTTGTGTTTATATTTGCATGTGTGTGTGCAGTGATGGTGGCAGTGATGGTGATACAGGTGAATAGTTCATTTTCCTGCCTCCCACCATTCTGGCCCAAAGGAAGTACTCCCTCCCTCACTTTCACTTACTCTTCTAATGCTTATTTTCCAACATCACATACATATTTACAACACAGAAATTCAATCAACGATAAGAAAAATGCAGCCATCTGTGTTCTCCTCTGCATTAAATACCTCTTCCACTATAGAGCTGCAGGAAAGCACATTTTCCACCCATACATAATTCACAGCCTAATGCTTTACTACAAAGTGAGAATTTCTCTCTCCAAGTTCCCAAACAATAAGCTACCTTATTCCTTTTTTTTTTTTTTTCCAGGAACTAGGTCTTTCAGGCATATTGATGGGTAATAACCGCTTCCTCCCCACCCCTCCCCTAACACACACATACACACACACTCAGTGCTGTACTTCCTGGGGGAATTCAGACCCAGTCTGAACTAGTTATGTGTCTGGCAGTTCCTCCACAGCCTGCAGCTAGAATGTAGGGCTGCCACCACCAACCAGAAGCCAGAATGGAGAGCAGAAGGACCTCAAAAACTGTCCCAGATGGTGTCCAGACAGTTTCCTACTTTGAAAGACAGCCCTGTTTTTTTCTGAGTATTGCCCCCATGGCAAAGGATCACAGACTTTATTGCATTTCATTGGTCATCTCTTCTGAGCCTAAACCTTTTGCTCAGCAAACCAATGCCAAGGAGCAGGCTAGGCAGAATCTGTCTGGCAGTTTCCCTGCCAAAGGCAGCGACCAGGCCAGGTTTCTCCAAACGGAAGTTGGTTCATGCCCTATGTTGCTGCAAACATATGCAGGCAGTGGAAGATGTCCTGGGCTCTGCCTCACCAGCAGCCTTTTTGGTTTGCTTCTGTTCATTCTGTGTAAAACCATTTGTAAAACCCAGATGCTACCTACCTCTGCTTCTTAAACATCTTCTCCACAGCCACTTCTTTTAAGTGGTTGTATGTGATATTCCAAGGTTGGATTTACACGGGCTATGTCTTGCTGGACGTTACAAACCACTGAGTGTGGCAGAAATCACAGATCATCATGTTTTTTTAAATGGTCACTTATATACAGATCAAGCACTAGACTAAGACAGACTATATCTACTCCTTTGATCCATAAAATGTTATCATTCAAATAGCAATATTAAGCTTAATCCTAAATATTCAATAATGATTCCCCAAATCAAACAAGCTGGCATGACTTCATTTTTTCCCCCTGTTTCAGATTTTGGGCCAGCATTATGTCATATGAGAAACACTAGTCTCCCCGCCTGAGGCTGAGTCAAGGGTGGGCAGTGTGCCCTTCACAGAGGCAGATAAACAATACAGAGTTCTGGCCTAAGAGGTTTCAGTGCCAGCCTATGGCTTTCAACTGGAGATCTGAACTTGACTTCTGAGACCTCTGACTCACCAATCAAAACTGAGTCCATTTAATCATTTCCAATTCCTTCTCACATGATCTTCTTGAGACTGGTTACAGATGGGCAGACAAATGACCTGTTCATGCTTAGACCCACACATTTGTCTAAAACCTCAAAAATACAAAGTTTAATCTGAAACCCAAGTTCATTTTCTCCTATTGCAGCAGAACTTAGTTTGCTCCTAGAAATGGTGGCCAGAAGATAATCAAGTGCTGAACTGAACCAAAAGTCAGGAACAAATTTTAAAACTATCTGTCAAAAAATAAAAAAGCATCTTGCACTGTTTTGCTTACTTATACTATTGGGTAAGTCTTCACCTGGGAAAACATATAAGTGGTTTCGTTTGTCAGAGCCATATCTTGGATAAAAATCTTGCCTGTTCTGAAAATAACTTACGTCTTCGAAAAACTCCTTGTATTGCCTAAAATAAAGTTTTAGGTTTTAAATACATCAAGCATAAAATGACTTAATTTTGGGGAGGCATCTGATATGAAACCTTAGCTTTGGAATGAAAAAATTTCTATCATCTTATAAGCTACTTAAATAGGTACCATTTCTCATAAACATACATTCCCATGAAGGATGGAGAAATAACTTTTATAACTAAGTAAAATAAGAATAAGTAAATATGTTCACTTCATAAAACCGGAATAATTTCTCCTCTCTGCACAGTCTATTAGGTGCCTTACGGAAGAGTCTCCTTGCCTAGGAAAATTATTAGACTAAACGTGAATGGCACTGAAGTTGGCAGCAGCTGTGAACTTAAAAGGGTTGTTGCCGGCTACTTTTTCTCCAGTGATGTGAAACATTTTCTTAAAAATAAAATATGCATTGATATTACCAGTACCTTCAAACAAGTGTCCTTGAACATCACCCGGACCGTGAGATGGCATCTAGAACTGGAGTAATTGATGGGTTATGAGGAGTGGATGGAGAAGGGAAGAGAACCCCACTCTAATCCCCACCTTTGGAAGCACTAACAACTGGTAGATCTTTCAGATCTCTTGGAAATCTAAAACAGGGGTACTGACAGCAAGAACAAAAATAACAAATAACCAGTCCAGAACTAAAAGAAGTTGCTGTGTGGCAACTCCCCCACTTAAGTGACAAAGCGATTGATAAGGCAAAAGTTCTTAATTAACCAAATGCTAATCTTGACCCATATAAATATGTGTTTGAATACATCGAACATCCATTATTAAAATGGCTCCAGATCATGTCAAATTTCCTACCTCAGAATTGTCACATAATGTTCTTAGAAATGCTACTTTTTGTTTATAAACGTACAAGAGCTTATAGCCAGTTGACAGATAGATACAATTTAGCTTTTGCCAATGATTTTCACAATTTTCATGGGATTGGATTGTCATCTAGATTATAGAAGGAAATCCAAGTAATAGTGTCTTGACTTCTAGCGTAAAACAAGAAACAGACCAGCTACAATCTCTGGGGAGAATGGTTGAATGTCACAACCAGAGCCGTAATATTAAGAATAAGGCTGACTTGAGGGGTGCCTGGGTGGCTCAGCTGGTTAAATATCTGACTTTGACTGAGGTCATGATCTTACACTTCATGGGTTTGAGCCCTACATTGGGCTCTGTGCTGATAACTCAGAGCCTGGAGTCTGCTCTGGATTCCTTCTCTCTCTCTCTCTCTCTCAAATGGATAAACATGAAGAAGAAGAAGAAGAAGAAGGAGGAGGAGGAGGAGGAGGAGGAGGAGGAGGAGGAGGAGGCAGACTTTAGTTATATAATAAATGAAGAAGCTCACAAGATTGATAGCTTGTTATAGAGTCAGTATCACATTCCAAACCAAATCCTGTTTAAGATATGCATGGTTAACTTTCGCTGCTCTGGTGATAGCATGCACTGTTTTTCAGAAATGAAAACAGTTAGGTTATGTATGAGTGTTCCCATGGTGCCAGGGTAAAGAAAAACCTAGACAGGACACTGGTACCTGTCCAGAAATGAAGAGTTGTTAGAATATGGCCAAGGAGGTCAACCAAGATCTCAGGTATATTTTAAACTCATTTATAGGTATACTTTGATGGTAGAAATGGTAGCCTCAGCCAATTCTCAAAGTGAAACAGCTTCAACCCACTCCTTTGATGAATGCCACTGCTGTTTGTTACAGGCAATATCAACAAAACTTAGAAAAGAAATCCCACATTACCAGCGTGCCTTCAGCCCCTAGTGTGATCTAGACAGGGAAACAGGGTGGGAGGGGTGGCAATGGGGTAGAAGTTCCTCTTAAACCCAAACTTCCCAGAAACATTTTGCCTGAAGTTGTAAAAGTATTGGTAAATTTTTAATGAATTTACTCAATGTTTTACAAACATTACTCTTGAGAGCTTTGTCTCCCCAGAAGCAGAAGTGTCCAGTATTGTGGGATAACAAGGCCCCCAGGGTATTTCCAACCAGCAACGAGAAGCAATATAATCATCTAGCAAAGGAAATATCATTCTTGTGCATTACCCAAGAATTGTTGCTTCGCCCAAACAGGCTAACGTAGAGTAAAGAATCTTTATAACAGGTAACTATTTTTTTAAATGTTTTCATTTTATTTTTGAGAGAGAGAGACAGATTATAAGCAGGGGAGGGGCAGAGAGAAAGGGAGACACAGAATCTGAAGCAGGCTCCAGCCTCTGAGCAGTCAGCCCAGAGCCCAACGTGGGGCTCAATCTCATGAACCCTGAGATCATGACCTGAGCCGAAGACAGACACTCAACTGACTGAGCCACCCAGGCACCCCCAGGTAAAGAATCTCTAGAGAGTGATGTCAAGACTGGCCCCCAGACAGACCCTACAAATCAGCACTTACCTTGGAGAACTCACCACTTCCCCAAATCTGGTTCACAATCTTGAGGGGCAGAAATGATGTTGTAAGTGTCCCAGGGTTGGCCAGACTTCAGATGCTGACTCATTTAAACAAAGCCTGGAAGACATGATGTATGAAGCTAGAATGCAAATTTAGAATGTGATATTCATGGTGACCTGAGTAGTCCTCTCTGTCCTTTCTGACAAGCTATAGTAGCACCAGCCAAACTGTTTGGCGAGCATGGACAACAATCAAGGTAATGGGAGCACAATAGCATTGTGTTCTGCAGCCTGTTTTATCCTCCTCCATATTAAAGATACACTTGCCAGACAGACCAAATACATAGTCACGGATAGGACATTCTTCTGGGACACACGCCTTTGCAAGTCTCCTTTTTCTCTGTGTTCATGCTGATTAATGCCTTTTCTCATTGACATTTCTTTTTTCTACTTTCCCTTAAGTTTATCAATAGGCATTCAACAGAGTTACATTCTATGGCTGTGTTGGTCTGGTGTGCTGATTTCTTTCTTTCTTTCTTAATTTTTATTTTTGAGAGAGAGCATGAAAGAGTGAGTGCACATGAGCTGGGGAAGGGGCAGAGACAGACAGGACAGAGGATCTGAAGTGGGTTCTGTGCTGACAGCAGAAGGCCTGAAGCGGGGGTTGAACCCATGAACCATGAGATCATGACCTGAGCCATTGGACGCCTAACTGACTGAGTCCCTCAGATGCCCCTAGAGTGCCAATTTCTTAATTTAAGTCATACAGTGCACTCTCAAGTTGTTGGGGGCACCTACTGAAGTGCCACCTACATTATGAAAGGAAGTATATTGAAGATATTTGATGAAAACTCTAAAACTGAAAGCTCTCCTTGAGAGCTGGTAGCTCATGGAAGGAGGCAGTGTCCAAGAATTAAAACAGAAAAGGTGTTGCCAAGATGACTGTGCATTTGGGGGTTTTTATCCTTAAGGGGATATTGGTTGTAGGGTCACGAAGGTGTGACAATCAAAGGAGGAAGAAGGAAGAGAAAAGATATAAATCAACGCCTGCAGTCTAAAGGTGGGGCAACCATATGGTAGTTCTTACTTGACAGCTTCTGACTCAGGTGCCATCTGTCACCAGACACCTATCACATTCAAGGTGCAGAGGTCTGTGCTACAAAGTTCTCAGAGAAAATGGGGACAACTTGTTACAAATGATCAATGAACTGGGGCACCTGGATGGCTCAGTAGGTTAAGCCTCCGACTTTGGCTCAGGTCATGACCTCATGGTTCATGGGTTCAAGCCCCATGTGGGCCCTGTGCTGACTGTTCAGAGCTTGGAGCCTGCTTTAGATTCTGTGTTGTCTCTCTACCCCTCCCCTACTCATGCTCTGTTTCTGTCTCAGTAATAAATAAACATAATTTTTTTTTTTAAATGATTAACGAACTTTGCTCTTTTTGCCTTGCCGGTAGGTCAGTTTTTTCCTCATTGACCTGGAATATCCAGAGATGAGGAACGCAGCAGGGAAGGGCAAGAGATTACAGAGTTCAGTAGGGAAGGAACTCAAAGAGAGTTAGGATAATAATCACCTTCCAGCCTTCCTCGATAGAGGCTTGCAGTGTAATGTTAGCTTTACAAGCTTGCCTGACATTTTTGAGAAAGAATTATCCCCATGTCTTTACCTGATAGCCCAGTAATGAGCCTGCCTGGCCAACTAGACCCCAGGGTTTTACAGAAAGTACTTCAAAAACAGGAAGTTGGTTAGTGAAGGCCAGTTTGTGTGGCGGGGAAGGGGTCTGTCTCTGACCCCAGAAAAGTGGGAAGAAGAAAGGAGGAAGGAAGGTGTGGGAGGTGGCTAGCCAGATGAATGTCCCATTTGCCCCTCCTGGCTGTGGGCCTGGAGTGGGACTGCATCCAGTCAATTCTCCTCACTCATTAAAATCATCACAAACACTGAATTAGCAAATACTGGACCACTGCTCTCTGGGGACACACATAGTTAGGTTTCTGGTCACATCTTTTTCCCTTTGAAATAGGATTTTTTGTTTGTTTGTTTAGGTGTACAGCAAAGCTGAGCAGAAAGCAGAAAGTACAGAGTGTTCCTATACTCCTCCTGCCCCCACATACTCATAGTCTCCTAGGCTATGACCATCCCCCTCCAAACTGGTATACTTGTTACAATTGATGAAGCTATAGTGACACATCAGAATTATCCAAAGTCCATAGTTTATATGAGTGGACATTCCATGGGTTTTGACAAACAGTGACACATATGCACCACTATAGGATCATACATAAGAGTTTCATTGCCTAAAAATCTCCTGTCCTTCACCTATTCATCTCTCCCTTTCCCTCACCCCCTGGCAACCACCAATCTTCCACTGCCTTCATAGTTCTGCCTTTTCCAGAATCTCATATAGTTGGAATCATGCAGCATGTAGACTTTTCAGATTGGCTTCTTTCACTTAGTGATATATATTTCAGTTCCCCCTCCATCATAGCTTTTCTTGGCTTGAAGCACATTTCTTTTTAATGCTGAATACTATTTTATTGTCTGGATATGCCTCAGTGTAATGGACTGAAGTATGTTCCCCCCGTAAAATTCGTATGTTGAACCTCTAACCCCCAATGTGACCGCATTTGGAGACAAGGCCTTTACAAAGGTGATTAAGGCTAAACAAGGTCATAAGGTCCTAAAGGTGGGGCCCTAATCGATAGGACTGCTGTCCTTATAAGAAGAAGAGACATGCTCACACAAAAGAAGGGCTACGTGAAGACGAAATGAGAAGGTAGCCATCTGCAAGCCAGGAAGAAATCTCTCACCAGTAATCAAATTTTCCAGCACTTTGATCTTGAATTTCTAGCCTCCAGAACTGTGAAAAAAATCTGTGTGTAAGTCAACCCATCCAGGGTATTCTATTATAGCAGCTGGAGCAGACTAATGAATACAGTTTATTTATCTATTCTCCTACTTAAGGACATCTTGGGTGCTTCCAAGTTTTGGTAATTAGGAATAAAGCTGCTAGAAACATCCAATGTGCAGGGTTTTCTGTGGATGTAAGTTTTCAACTCATTTGACTGAATACCAAGGAGTGTAACCACTAGATCATATGGTACAAATACATTTAGCTTTTGAGAAGCTGCCAAGCTGTCTTCCACAGTGGCTGCACCATTTTGCATTTCCACCAGCAGGTGAATGAGAGTTCCTATTGTTCTACATCTTCAGCAGCATTTGGTGGTATCACTGTTGTATATTTGAGCCATTCTAATAGGCATGTGGGAGTACTTCATTGTTGTTTTGGTTTGCATTTTCTTAATGACATATAATGTGGAGTATCTTTCCATATGCTTATTTGCCTTCCACATATCTTCTTTGCTGAGGTGTCCTGATCTTTTGTCCATTTTTAAATCAGGTTGTTCATTCTCTTGTTGTTGGGTTTTAAGAATTTTTGGTATATTTTGGATAACAGTCCTTTATCATTTATCATTATGTCTTCTCATTCTCTCAACAGCATCTATCACGGAGCAGAATTTTTTAATTCATTAAATAATCAATATATAATCCTGGTTTATGTGTATATCTGTTTAAATATACTTTATTTAATAGACACCATTGACTCATTAACACTGAACTCACAGACAACAGGTCTATAAAACATATCTGAAGGAAGCTAATTTAACACATCATTGTCTTAGTCTACTCAGGCTTCTGTAACAAAATAACACAGACTGAGTAGCTTAAACAGCAGAAATTTAATTTCCCACAGTATTGGAAGCAGGAAAGTCTAAGACCAAGGTGATGATAGGTTTCTTGTGGAAGCTTTCTTCCTGGTTTTAGATGGACACTTTGCCCTCACTTAGTCTTTCGCCCAAGTGCAGCGCATGAGAAAGAGCTCTCATCTCTTTTTATAACATTAATCAGGGCCCACGCATAAGACCTCATTTGACTTTGATTACCTTCTTAGATGTCCCATCTTCAAATATAGTCACACTGGAGATGAGGGCTTCAACATATAACTTTTGGAAGACACAAACATTCAGCTCATGTCACATATAATTTCTCCATAAGGCACTTCACAGCCTTCTCGCTCTCAGGAGTGATCAACAACACTTCAGTACCTATACTCAAGGGGCCATTTCCAACAGCAAAATCACCAACACGAAGCACAAAAATATGAAAAGTTGAGCACCAAACAGATCATGTAAGGAATACTTGCTGACAGTGTGAGTCCCGAAATAAGAAGACAGAGTGTCACCTTATTTGACCTCAGCTGAGAACGTGCAAAATGGCAACTCAAATTTCTCACCACTCTGCAAACAACCATGAAAGTGTAAGATGCTGACTTGGGGCTTAAAACAAATTTTAGTGATTAGGCGAATTCACAAATATAAAAGCAGCATATAATGAGAACTGACTATATACATTTTAGATAAATTGAAGATATCATTCAAGGGAAGGAGTGGCGCAACCTGCCCATTTGGATCTGAAGGAGAAGCTTACAGGACAGAAGGCCCATGCCAACATGTCATGGTCATCTAGGTACTTAAGAGGGTAGGAGGTCATGAGTAGACAGTAAAGGTCTAGCTGGCAATCTGGAATCTCCCTTGTTTCTCTTTCCCCACAGGATGCTGACTTTAGAGCCAGAGGATTTGCCACAGGCCTGCTGTGGCAAAGCAAGGTGACCCTCCAGCAAAGGCTGTGAGTAGATAACCAGGCCAAGAAGCTCAAGGAAGAACAGGGCCAATGAGTAAGAAATGTTCTTGAGGGGTGCCTGGGTGGCTTAGTTAAGTGTCCACTCTTGATTTTGGCTCAGGTCATGGTCTCACGTTTTGTGAGTTTAAGCCCTGCATCAGGCTCTGAGCTGACAGCATGGAGCCTCCTTGGGATTCTTTCTCTCCTTCTCTCTCTGCCCCTCCCCTGCTCATGCTTGCATGTGCTCTCTCGCTCTCGCTCTTGCTCTCTCTCTCAAAATAAAAAAATAAACTTAAAAAGTCAGAAAAAAGAAAAAAGAAAAAGAAGGAAGGAAGGATACGTTCTTGAAAAAAATTGCTAGAGCCAGAGTTCTCTAGCTGCAGATTTCAGCCCTGGGCTCAACAGGACTACCTGGACAGAGGTTGTCCCCTGGAGATATGTA